CAAAATGAATTTCTTCAATTCCTTTCTTAACACATTTCATTTACCCCTCAGGTATGCACATGTCACCTGTTAGAAATACATTCATCAATAGGTGACACAATGCTGTCCTCACAGTTTGTAAGGAGAACAAGTGAGTTAATGAATGAATGGGTTAATGAATGAATACATTAATAAATTTACCTTTAACCTTTGGAGATTGCAGTGTAAGTTTTAATTCTGTAAACAAGTGCATAAAAGCCTCACAGTTTACAGCCTCAGGGTCACTTCCTTATACATGCAAAACAAAAGAAAAATCCAAAACACAGTTCACCATGACTGAGAATCTGCTAGGAATTACGGCCTGGGATGAAGATAGGGGGTAGATCAGGTCAGTGCTATACTCATATATACTCAGTTTATATATTCACCATGGAGAAATTAGAAAATAAGGGAAATTCTTGCTGCTAATTAAAGAGGGAATGCAGTTCCTTCAGAAATGCGTTTGTAGATGTTACAATTTTAGTCTGTTTTCCTCATGAAGCTGTAATTAAAGATACTTTTGCTACAAAATGTGGCATTCTGGAGTGCTGTGATATAGAAGCATTGATATTTTTACTGGTTGAGCCTCTGGAAAATCTAGAGTGATTTGTACATTTGGCTTTCTGCACACACTCTCCATCAGGAAGCTGTGTGGTTTCTACAAACAGTAGAGCTTATCATCACTCATTTAAAGATCTGCAGAAAACATTTATTGTAAAATGTGTTAAACTCTAGGTTACTTAGGATTTAGTATCTACAAAATATATCTGCAAAGTGTTACCAAGTTTAGAGCTGGGAGGGATATCCCTGCATACCTACATGTTTCTGTACTAAAGGACATAGAATGCCTTAGGTCAGAAGTGCTAAAAAAGAAATTATTTAAAGCTCAGGAAAATGAAAATTGAAGAGTAAATATTGTTTCATTCAGCTCATGTCTGTCAGCTTTTACTCTCCAATAATTGTATTTTTTCCACTCCATTGCAGATTACCAGAATAATATGGCTTAATTCTCTTAGCAAACCTGTGTGCCATTTCAACTGTGCATGGCATCGATAGCCATTAGCATGCTCTTCTATCAGGTTCAAAGTTTGCTGAACATGTTCAAGAAATGTTCTAAATCACAAATTCACAAATCATAGAAAATTGAATATTTTGATTGGAGGAGCAATTTTTCATAGTTGCATTTTTTATTGAGTAACTCTAGAGTCTCTTAAGCAGCACAAGTTTAAGCGTACAGCGTGTACTGGGAAAAAAAAAACAAAAAAGCAGGCACTGTCATGACGTCTTACAGAATCTCTTGAAAGAGAGAGAACATTGCAACAGAAGAAAGTTATTTGTCCAATAGTTTTCTCTGCTGCTGTTGTTAATTATTGAGAGCATTTGTGATTGAAGAACATTTTTTCCTCTGTAACCAAGTTCTTTCTGTTGCACTCTTACCACAGTCATAAAGCTTTGAAAAGAGACCTTAGACACAGGCTCAGCCACAACGGGCCATTTCAGTGGCAGAGAATAAAGAAACTGTTCTAGAGATAAGGTCACAGCTTTCTTCAGCATTAGCAGATTGATGCAGGCATGAGGATTCTGAGATTTTTCTCTTACACCCAACCCCATCACTTGTGTTCACCTAGAAAAAGCTGTTTAGGGATAGCATCCAGTTGTAGAAACATTGAAAACCAAAGGGAATATTAGAATGCATGTTTTATACTTCACTGCTCAGTGCCATCTTCGGCTCTGTCTTTCTTCTTTGTGTGTTTCCCTCTAATCCACTCCATAAATCATTCATGTTGTTCTCCATTACTATGTTCTCTTTACTACTTTTAAAACTCTGTTACTTTGCTTCCTTTATTTCTGGTCATTCCAGCCTATCTACCATCAACTTCTCTTTGCCAATATCTTCCACCAGTACTGTGAAGATAGTAAGAGAACACTTGCTAGTGCAATGCTTGTAGAAATTCTGTGTATAATTGAGGACTGTCAGAAATTTTTCATCACATTTCCATTGCCCCCAAATGAGTTGTTGAGAAACTGAAATTATTTGCATACTGGCTTAGATTTCAGAAAATCTTCTACTGGAAAATTTCAAAACAAAATGCCTTTCTGTTGATACTTACTTAGTTCAGTTAGTTTTACTTTATTTACTTTTGCATTCTGGAGATCCACAGAATCACAGAATCACAGAATCACCCGGGTTGGAAGGGACCTCAAGGATCATGTAGTTCCAACCCCCCTGCCTAGCAGGGCCACCAAACACACACATTCAGATCAGGTTGCCCAGGACCCCGTCCAACCTGGCCTTAAACACATCCAAGGACAGGGCATCCACAACCTCCCTGGGCAGCCCGTTCCAGGGCCTAACCACTCTCCTTGTTTAGAACTTCCCCCTAACATCCAACCTAAATCTTCCCTCCTTCAACTTCGATCCATTTCCCCTAGTCCTGCTGTTGTCAGCCCTTTTGAAGAGTTTACTCTTGATCCAGCTTGTGCTGCTTTTCATTGAAAAGGAGTTTGTGACTCTGAGGTGAAAATTTACCAAAACTGGCCATTAATAGGCTCTTCCATTTTATAGAATACTTTGAAAAGATTTTGTAGTGAACGCAATCCTTGCTTTCAAAGAAAAATTTTTTTTAAATCAAATTTCGACTTGCCCCTCCTTCCACTCCATATTGTTTCTTCATTATTTACATTTTTATTTCCTAAGAGCAGAAATTATTCTTTGTACAGTACCTAACATGGTGTCTTTGTTCTCTGAACAAATAAGATCTGAATAACGAATATTTGATACAGAAATACCTTGGGTGAGAGTCTTTGTTCTGATTTATGCAGGAGATATGATCAATTCTGTCATTAACCTTTCTGAAGTCTGGGACATGAACAATCCAATGCTTATGGCACTGCTGTAGCTGTAGTAAAAATGACCTTTTACAGTCAGTCTTATTACATAAGAATCTATCGCTAATCCACGATATCTCCTACTGATGAAAGCAGTCACAAGAGCAGAATAAACCTGGTGGTAGGGCAGAGCTCTATGTTTTTGTAGTACTAAGGTATAGAAAAAAAAAGGAAGATTTATTTCTAAACATAAGGAAGAAAACTATTTTCACTTTTTTTTTTTTAATTTAGCAATTATAACCGTATATTTTCTCTTAAAACTAGACTTCATTTTAAACGTGCATCATTTTTAAGAATTGCCAATGAAGTGGTCAAGATCTACGAGGCAGATTGTATTTTGGGAAATTCATGTACTAAGGCTTGAATCAAACTCTGTTCCTCACACTGAAACAGATAGCCACTTTCCTACTCTTTTTAAAACAGAAAGGATTTCTTTGAACTCTGTCTTTGAACTACTTTTTATCTGTACCATTCCTGAGTAACTTCTTTGCAAACATAATTTTGACATATTCAATTGTATGTTATCTATACCATTTTGTATATGCTCGTGTAAAAGAAATCGTTTATTGCCCTCAATTAAAGTTGTTCCTCTGTAACAGCATGAGATCTAGGTGCCCGATTATTTCATGGTATTTTTATTGTTTTTATTATTTTACTGAAATGAAGCCAAACAAAAGAATACCCTAGTAACTGAGTAATGTGGCTTCCCACTTGGTCCCCGATAGATCCAGATCATTATGGATGTTCATGGCAAAAGTATTTTACTTCATTTCAAAGTTCTTGAGGAGAGATAAATTCATAAGAAAGTGAAGGAGTCAGCAATTTCAAAGCTAGTAATTCCAAAGTTATTAATTTTGTATTTAAAGAAGTTTTCTTGCTGTGGCAGATAAATTGCCCACCAAAGCCAATCTAAATTATTTCTTCACAGCGGAGTGCAGTCACATGGATGACAATAAGCAATCGACTGAATGTAGAGGCTTTTTTAGTAAAACCTTGGATTTTGTTCTGTTAGAAATAGGTGAATCAGCTCAGTAGGTGTTGTCAGGCTGTGCAAGTAGCAAAGCTGAGCATCTGCTCTCAATGGGTGCGCACACACCATAAACACACACAGCCACAGTGTCAGCACAGATGTAAGTTTGCTAATGCTAGATATTTGTGTGTGTATTTGTATAAAACATGAATCATTCTGGTAGCTCAGGCTGTCAGCATATCCAGCAGCTGGCTGCAGACCCACTGATCTCCCAGTTGCTGGGAAGCTGTGTATGAGCCCAGAGGTCTGCTGTCTCAGAGCTCTTACTGTGCTAACTGCTTAAACTAGGTGGAAGTTAGCATCCAAATGTATGCGGAACAGAACACAGCCAGAGAACAGGAATAGGACTTCATGAGAGTAGTCTAAGGTGATCAAGTTGACATCTCAGTCAGACAAGCTTACTCACCAGTATACACTTGACTGGCCCCTTTGTTCCTTTTTGCTCCTTGTTTTCTTGTTTTCCCTTGCACGTTTAGCCCAATCCACTTATATCCCTTCCTTTCCCTGCTATTCCTCTTTCTGGTAAATGTATCATAATGAGCCTCCTACATTCCCCAAATTCTGTCCCCACTGCATATCTTTATGACTGCTGTCCCTCCTTCCCTTTGCAAGGTGTATAGGGAAGGGAATTTGCTTGATGGACTCCTTCTGGTGGGTTCTGCACAAGAGACAATGGGCCAATTGTTTTCTTCAGTAGACTTAGGCGTAGCCGCTGCCCTATGCCCTATTTTCACTGATTAGGTTTCCAGGGTTCCTCCCCCACCCCATCATTTTTCATCCTGTCCCAGCTTTTGTATTAGCCTTTAGTCATAGCACAGTCTAAAAAGTTTTGTGCTGTAATTGAAACAGATAATGGAAAGACAGTACAGTAACATTCTATTTTACCATAGCCACTATTGCTCTTGATGTTTAAATGTGAGCTCTCAATGTTTAATTGACTTAGAGTGTCTGTGTCTGAATCAGCTCAAATATGGTGATTTTTTTTGCTCCTTGTGTTTTAAGAATTAAATCATGAATACTCCCAGTAACACACTTATCATTGAATTATTCTGTTTTCTTGCAGATAATCAAGTGATCTGATGTTCATGAATGAGAAGAACAAAATTTTTATTTGCACACATGAATCCTTTCGGTAGGAAACTAGACTTTATGTTTTATGACTGTGCTATTTATAAATTGTAAACTATCATAGTAGGATTATTATTGGGAAGTAGGGCTTAGTAGTTATTTGAGGTGAACTTTGGGGGGTTGGTCTCGATGATCTCTAGAGGTCCCTTCCAACCCCTACAATTCTGTGATTCTGTAATTCAAGAGCAATTATCAAGTTCTAATTTAAATTCGAATTTTCAGTCTTTAGAATTTTCCTCTTTACAATTTATGTTTCCCTTGTCTGTAAAGGAATACTATATGAATAAAAGTCATGAGATTATGGCTAAACATGCAGAACACCATAGAGGAAAACGACATCTTCAGGAGCCCTTCAGGAGGTGGAGGAAAATTGTCATTATTAGTTAAATCAAGGTTTACCATGGTGGTTTTGGTGATATTCAGAAGAAAAAAAAAAAAAAAAGCTTTTGATGCATTTCTAGTAAGAGTTTTAGCAAAGTCCTTTTTTTCTTCCATCCTCATTTCCAGTCTGCTAAGGACAGGTGATGAGGTGATGATAGTTTCTTGCAGTTTTCTTGACCTACTTTGTCAGTTTAGATGTTGAGAGTTTTTTTAAAAGGAACTCCAAGCTCAATTCTGTAAAATCAGTAGGCATAAGTTAGGTTTGGTGCTTAAATGCTTCGAGAGATAGTTCAGTATCTGAAACATTTTCAAGAATATGGGTTTTGTGATTTTTATTTTTTTTAATGTAAGTCTTGTAGACTGAGTTCATCTCTATCTGTGAGAGAAGTTGCTCCATTCATCATCACATATTGACTGCTGATAAGAAAAAGGATTGCAAAGGGCCATTAGTATGAGATTTGTTTGAGAGGAACATAGGAATAAATATATTACAAACTCAAATGTAGGCTTTTCAGATAAAATCTTAAAGAACTTAGAGGTGTCTCCTGATCAAACAGCACAGAAATATGAAGTGCTTAATTATAAGAAATCAGTTTGATGTCTAACCTGGCATTGCCAACAGAAAGTATCCTTGCAAAGCTAGCATGTACAAACCTACATGCTAAAAGTATCTACCTGGAATTATTCAGCAGAAATGCAGTTCAGAGGCATGTCTGAACTACCTGCCTTCTACACAGCTCACATGCCTCCATGAAGGTTGCCTGAGGGACCTGTATGTTGGAGGCTTCCAGCTAGGTGTCATTTAGAAGGGGAAAGCAGAGCTCAGAACACAGTGCACATCTACACTTCTCATTTGCAGTATAATCCCAAACCACCACTTGTCATTCAGAAACACATCTACTGATAGCTGTGCCTAAGTCATGGTTAGGGACGTATGTCATCCATGTTGACGTGAGAATCAGCATGGGACGGCGCAGTCGTACAACACCTACTGTGTAGATGAATGTATGCCCAATAGGATTCCAGATGGTACAGCGAAGATTTATTCTCTTATTTATTTATGTTTGGTTTCATACAGGTGTAGTTCAGGCTTTCATGGTAATTTACTGTGGTGTTCTGAGATTCTCTAAATTGCCTTCCCCCAGGCCTCAGAGACAAATCTTATTTAGTGTTGAAAGTAGTAGGAATGTGAGTCTTGTTTGCTACAGATTGGTGAAACACTTCAGGCTTTAGACTCCTCTGGTAACAAAGCTTGTAATGGACAGAATGTCACGGGGAGTGGATGCTGTACAGTTGTTGCCTATTCCTGCAAGCCCGAAAATATCACAGATAGGAAATCTTTCAATCTGTGCTAAACTGGACAAAGAGTTCTCTGCCAATCTCAAGAAATGTATGTATCAGCATAGGTGAGAAAGAGATGCAAGGAATGTAAAAGCTGTAAGTAAAGTAGGACGAGGACATTCTTCTCTGCTTCATAGCATATTTCTGTTTAACTTTCAGCTTCATCTAGCAGCATTGTAAGCAGTTTTCAACTCTACAATTTCATATTTTTATTAATTACACAATAATTATTGTATAGTAAAATGTAGCACTGCCCACTTCTGTGCATTCTAAAACCCTGGTACCAAATTCTGCCTGCATCCAGATGCACAGTTTTCTGGGGTGTGATGCACAGCTGTTGAGAACGGTGTGACTCCACGCTAAAAGGGAGAAATTCAACTACAATGCCAGAATGTAATAATTTTGTTCAAATTAAATCAGAAGCTTCAAGAAGGAGGCATATGATTCTTCAATTATCGGTTACTGAACCCTTGGTTTTGCATGACATTCTGAGAAATCAGTGTGTACTGAATCTCTTATGAAAGAATGTATTCAGTTCTAAAAGTGAGGCATTCCCCACAGCATGTTCATTAACCATATTTATTCTTCTTGGATATGATTTTCAAGGGAGATATAGGGAAGGTACACTTTTGATATAGTTATGACAAAGTGGACATTATTTTTCTATTAAAGCAAGTGTTTTTAAAAAACAAGAGTTCTCTTCACAAGCCCTACAAATGATATCTGAATCAAAAATACCAAATACCAAGCAACCATGGAAACGCAGGCTCCAGAACAAATGGAATATGGTTAATATGCCTGGAGCCTCCTGGCCACTTCTCTGCTGCTGCTGACATTCCTTCACAAAGCAATGCAAATATCAGAATGATGCTTTTCTTAGATGCTTTTAAACACATATTTAAGAGCAGATAACTGGATGTTGTGATTATTCTTTAACAGAAAATATTTTGAATGCATTTGAAAGCATTACATTCCATATGTAAAATAGGCTATCCAGCCATCTTATGCTCATGGACAGTTTTCTAACTGTTAATAATTCAAGATATTTAAATGGCATTGAAACACCAACCAGAAAAATGGACACTGGATCATAAAGACCACTTTCCAGCTATAATGAACATCCATGTCATATATATTTCATAATAGATCAGACTCTCTGGGAAAGCTAGATGGGAATTTTTGTTTTGTAAGCCTATTCCAGCAGCTCATTTTTGTGAGGATGGGTTTTTTTTGTTGTTGTTTGTTTTTTGTTTTTAAGTTTCTTTTGAATTAATTACAGCCATTCATTCTTGTTTCAACATTTGGTAAAATTTATACATTCTTTTTTTCCTCTCTTTTGATGATAATCCGCTGGTATGTTTATAGAGGACAGTCAGATCCTTCCATGGAATAAAAAGCCAATTCCTTAACTCTCCTTCATGCCTCTCATGAGGCAGCCTTTGTGTTCCCTGTTTGTGTTAGCAGCTGTTTTCTAAATCTGTTCTAAACATATTAACCTGTTTACTTCTGTAGATTATCCACCTTCTGTAGGAAGAGGGAACGAGGCTGTTTTCAGCATACAGATGACCAGAATTTAATTTTTTTTTATGACCCAGATACTACATGTGTGGCAATAATAAGTCCATATCCCCCTTTCTCATATCTCTCCTGTTCTTTTTCATACCCACATCACAGAGGTGATTTGTGATCATTTAATTTTTAAATAATGAATGATCCCAAGAAAAAATACTTGCTTATAAATGCACTAATTAAATCCTATCACTATTAATTTTATTCTTTGGGTCTTTGGTTTCCAAAGTGATCCTATTTTACTTCTAGAGTGCTCTCATTCAGTTGATAATGCTTCTCTGTTTCTTTGCACAGAGAAGACATGTCTCTTATTCTGTAATAAAAGAGAAAAAAATATGTTGTCAGTACCCCATTGGCAACTACAGTGTGAATCTCAAATTGAAAGTTCTTGTTTTGCAAGTGTTCACCTGTGTTTTATAATAATAAAACAACTCTGTTATTGTATATACGTGAAATTGTTACTGCACACAGTTCATTATTTCACATTTACTTGGGAAAAATGTGCCTCAGTGCTCAAAATAGTCTATACGCTGCTTTACGTAACACCATGTTTACAGCTCATTTCTGAAACTGAATACTAGCAGTTGTGCCTTGTAGGTTTCTTATGGTCATAAAATTTGCATGTGCTTACACAAAACCAGAGTTTATACTAAAGAGTTCTGCCCTGCACTGGCTGTGTATACTCAGATCGCTGTGAGTGGGTTTAAAACAAACACAGATGCAACTGTGCAGAGCATTGCTCAGATGCGTGCATAAGCGTGCCTAGATATTCAGAAGTGCTTTGTCTTCAGTGAATATGTTTTAGTATCAATGAAATTAACTGATACTTCGTTTCCCTTTGTACTTGAAAAAGATTCATGTTTTGACAGGCTATAGTTTCTCGATACAGAAAATGAATTGCTTAATGAAAATAGAGTCATCTGATAAACCACAAAGAATTTTTCCTCTGCAAAGAGACATCTTGTTCTCACGCTGTGCTACACTGAATGGTTTTGAGCACAAAATACCTCTCAGATGTACGTGTTAGGAGTGGAAAGCTGATGTAAGGAGTTACCCCTTCAGATAATTAATGTTTATTCTTTATTTTCCGAGAGTAAGGCTGCCTACCAACTCCACTCACCATCTCCAAGCAGAAAAGTGTATCGGTGGGGAAAGGAAGAGGTTTGCTTCGATTCATTCTGCCCTTTCTTCAGCCTAAGCAGACTGAGGAGCCGCTCGGGCTCCCGGTCGCCCTGAGCTATACCCTGAGTGCTGAGGACACCTAGCGGTGTCAGCCTCCGCAGGCACCGGGCTCCGCAGCCTCCGGCCTCGCTGCACGGCGCCTGAGTTCTGCGCTGCCTTTACAGGCTGAAGAAAGAGGCGCGATAATCGCTCTGTCTGGTATTTTCACCTGATAAGTTAATTGTCAAGATATCTACTTTTTCCGTGGTTTTCTTCTCTCTTTTTGCCTTTTCCATTTTCCTGCAGAATTAAATGCGGTAAAAACAAGGAGTTGAACACACAGAATCGTTCTTCAGGCTGAATGGTCTGAATTTGACATTGAAAGGACTGCCAAGGGAGGTGGTGGAGTCACCGACCCTGGAGGTGTTCAAGGAAAGACTGGATGTTGTGTTGAGGGACATGGTTTAGTGGGAGCTATTGGTAATAGGTGAACGGTTGGACTGGATGATCTTTTAGGTCTTTTCAACCTTGGTGATTCTATGATTCTATGATTCTATTTTTTGTTATTACGAGACTGACCTCTCAGGTAAATTAACATCAGACATTAGAGCCTTAAGAAAGCTCTAAAGCTTCTGTGTTCCAAGATGCCAAATAAACGTAGAAGATAAGTTAATGCAATAGAAACCTAATCCCAGCACTGTTATCTGCTCAAAGGCTTGCAGAAAGATCTGTTTACTACTCTCCAACTCAGGTTTTCTTCCCCTCAAGTGAAAATGTACTTGTGCCACACCTGTTTGAGTAATAACAAGAATCAATTAGCTGCAATTCAAAAAGGACTTCGATCAAAATGGATATATATTACATGTTAACACTTTTATTTACTTTTGCATGATTGCATGTTTTTCAGTGAGTCCTTGATGTGATGGGAGACGTGGAAATCATGAAACAGAATTTGATATCGTCTGTTCAGATTATATTGTTACTTCCTCTGACTACAGTGGGTCTGACAAGTAAGTACAAAATTTCCAAGAACACTTGTTTTCCTTGAAACACTTCTTTCAGAAAAGTCTGAGGCTTTACTTGATCTATCCTGACCATCACTGGAACCTGTGCATATTTGAACTGCTTTCTTTCAAAGTTTTGTGTGGAGGTCTTGAAAATGACTTGAATCCTCTTTTCTTTTTGGAGTATTAATTTAATGATAATATGGTGGTGATAATGAAAGGTATTTGCTCTCTCCGCACCTCCACTGCATCCTTATCACCTTTTTGGGAATTAGCATCACATGAGTAGTAACACTGTTAAAGATATGGTATGGAACTTTAATGAAGTAAGAGTAAACTTAGGTTGAAAAGCCACATGCTCTTCCTGTGAAAAAGTATGTAAATTTATGGTCTATTTTCTTGTTGGAAGTTAATGACAGGTAATTTTAACAGGAAGTATTCTAAAATGTATTAGGATTATTACGGGTCGTTCATAAAATTAGCAAACAAGTTCAGGTTGCAGGACAAAAAATATTACATCCACCTCATTGATTCCTTCTTTTTATAATCCGTCTTATCTGTAATTTCCTCTGATACATTTAGAGATGTGTAAACAATGAAATTTTGAATCAATCACAAAGCTACAAAGCTGATGGAAAAGTTTAATTCTAAGATGACCTGAAGATAAAGATTTTTGATATGTTAGGAAATATAAACAGTAAATCATGCATTTGATTCCATGCTTTTTAATTTATTCTGAAGGTTACTGAACACTTCTGAAATTTAGGTAAAAATGAAATTTTCATTTGAAAAGAAAAAATATACTAGCAGCTGTTTCAGAAATTTGAGATAAAATATATGTAGTTTTCTGAATGTCTTGACCTTTTTTCCAGGAAGATGTATTTGCGAAATTCATTCCTTAGTTTCAAATAATTTTATTCTCCTCAAGCATTTCATGTTGAATTTGCCATTCAGTAACAACTATAACAAAAAAAAAAAAAAAAAAAAAAAAAAAAAAAAAAAAAAACACTGTCCAGCCGTAATATAACTAGTTGGATTTCTGCACTTCCCTAGGTCAATCATTCCCTGGAAAACCTAAGATAATAAGATGTCGTTCTCTAGAAAAGGAAACCTTTTCTTGTTGGTGGAAGCCTGGTTCAGATGGAGGACTTCCTACCAATTACACCCTGTTCTACAGCAAGGACAGGTAAAAAGCGGTGAATAAGTAAGTTATCAAGTGACAATTATGTCAGAATGAGGGATGATAACATTCATTTATGAAAACTATTTTTTATGAATACATGAAACTTCAGATAGCCAACAAGGACTATTAATAGGTTTCCCTTGGTAGAAAAAAGACATCACTGTTAGCAAAACCAAACCTTCATCCTGCCCCTAATGAAACTCAGATGAGCTGAAATTTGGGGAAAGATGTAATTTGTCCTTCTTATCAGGTGGCACACAGCTTTAATTTGAACAGCGTGCTTCTCTGAGGCGGGGAGCATCAGGGTACCATGAGGGCTGGGGTCTGTGGGAACTTCTCTCGGGCAGGCAAAGCAAAATCATCAGCCAGGGCCCTTCCTGTCTAATGAAGGGAAGCAGGATAGGTAGTGGGGCAACCTCAGCCCCAGGCATGGGGCACAATCCTGGGGATGGGGACAGCTCAAAGTTGTGTTGGGCGAGGATGTCACCCATGGTCAAAGCCAGCTCAGTGGGGCCCATGGTCAGGCTGCAGGAAGCTGGAGATGGGCCCTGCTGCTGTGGGCTGAAATGGAGTCTTGGCCAAAGGTAGAGTGGGGGAGGCTGGGCAATTACAATAAGGGCTGGTGGTGCCCCAAGGGCACCAAGGAGCTAACACACATCTGGAGAAAGTCTATTTTAGAGACTTCCCTATTTGAATTCATAGTCAAGCTGGTGGCTCACAAAATGGGGTAAAATCAGATGTGGGTATTGCATCTCAAAACTGATTTGGTAAATCTGTGGCACCCTCATAGTGTTTAAGAATAGAATGCATATGCTTAGTGACTTTGCTTAACCTGTGCTTCTTAATATAAGAGCCCTTCCTTCCTTTAAAAAGAGGTCTCGTGATATGTACAAGTAAGCAGGGAAGCTGAGATTGAATTTCATTGAATAAATCCAGTGAGGTTCAAAATAGATACGGTAAAGCCTCAGACATCCCTGCTTAAATTAAACCAACTCCAGATCACTTGTATTAATTGATAAGGGTACACCTTTTAATGAAGTTACCACAATCAAAAATGAACTGAGAGAGATGACATTTTCCTTATCTGCAATGAGCATATCTGTAGAACTTTCATTTTATGAAAGTCCAGGTGTTTTGATCTTGATTTTTGATCAGAATAGAACTTCTTATGAGCATTTTACATCATACCAGTCACAGCCCAGAAGAGTGCTGCCTGGAGATGGATACAGATGCTTATCATTTTTATTAAATCTGATGAAACATAGGTGTTGCTAAGCACTCCAGATCTAGGCCAGAGTTATCTTTCTTAACTTGTTGTCTCTGGTGCAGTCCTCTTACATCTTTGCTTTGTGAACTGGGACAAAGCTGCATAGACACTGAAAGATCTTGTTACAACTGGTGTATAGATCATCACAATGAAGTGAATAAAATGTGTCCTTTAGCCGTCTGAGGTGATGCTTTGTGCTTCTGCAGTTCTTCACACCTACAAAAAGTCCCAATTCAGCTTTAAGGAGTACAAAACTCACCTCTAAAAAAAAGCTGAAGACTCCTAAGGCAGAAGACAGTATGTAAGAGGCATGGCCATGTTCACATTCAAAAGCAGATAAATGAACACATTACTGAAAACAAAATAAGTAATAAAACACCCTTCTGCCATGGAGCCTATCAGGTTATTTTCCAGTAAAAATATGTAAAGAAGACATTTAGCAATTTTCCTTCATTAGGAAAATTTAACTTGCTTCTAAATGTTTTTTAAATTACTGTGTATTGTCTCCGGAAATTTCTTTTTCCATTCTTTTGGCAACACATTCTTGTGTATAAAAAAGCAGATAAAAACTTTCGTCTTGAACAACTGCATAAAAATAGCTTTATGAGTCAATGGAGCATTTATGGTAATAGCGTTTGACATTCACTGAAATGTTTCCCAGAGATGGGGTTATATATAGGCTTAAAGTTTAACATTTTAAAGGTCTGTGCTGAACTTAGGCCATTACTAGAAAATTATCTACTTTGATTCATTTCCTAAACTTTGAACTTTTTAAATCATTTTATTTCAGTGAAGAAAAAATCTATGAATGTCCAGACTACAGAACATCAGGTCCCAATTCCTGCTACTTCAATAGAAACCACACTAATTCATGGACAACATATAATATCACTGTAACAGCAACGAATGAGATTGGAAGTAACAGCTCGGATCCTCAGTATGTGGATGTGACTTCCATAGGTAAAAAAGAAAGAATGAAATGCAAAAAACACAAAAACAAAAAAAGCAACCTAGTTTGAGACATATCTGTTTTTTAATCCAAGAACAAGTAGTGGTGAAAGATTTCTTTCCTCATATTACGAAACTTGCTAATGGAGGAGTGTTTACCTGCCGATCATCTCAAGTGAAGTAGGTACCTCTAATGTATGTGCAAACCGCATTTTACTTACAAATCATGTAAAAGCATATTCTAGCACTACCTTAATTGTGACTGAAAAATTGCTCCAGTTTCTAGTTACTTCCAGTATTTCAGTTAGAGTCAGCTGAGTCTAAACAGTTTTGTAGGCTCCTAGCACTGCGGATTATCAAACTTTCAAATTAGGTCAAATTGTCAGAAGTGTTCCAGATTAGGTTTTCCCAATGTAAACATCTTTCTGGTTGTTGGCATTGCAGTCTTGGATGGGTAAAAATATGCCTAAGAACCTCACATTTTTTGTTTGTTTTGTGCAGTATTTCATATTCTTAAGTCCATTCTGTTTTCTGCATACAACATTCTACAGTGTACACAGTCTTTTTGGCCACACTTTCATTTTACAAGAGCGGCTGAATGAAATTATTATTTCTGTTTCCATAGCATAACAAATTCAGAGTTAAGTCTAAGATTTGCTGATCTTGTCTTAGATTAGTAGCCAGTTAACACTGTTAGAGAGAAAAGGCAAAAAAAGTCTGTTGTACTGTAACTTCACAGAGGGACTGAATGATCTGAAATTAATATAATGAATTACAAAACAGAAAACAGAAAGACAACAGAATGGTTGAGGTGGTGCTGTGGTTTAACCCAGCAGGCAGCTGAGCACTGCACAACCATTTGCTCATGTCCCTCTCCCTGTCGATAGGTGTTGTGGTCAACGTGGCAGATCACTGAGCACCACACAGGCATTTGCTCACTCCCCACCTTCCCAGGGGGATGGAGGAGAGAAGCAAAAGGAAAAAAAAAAAAGCAACCAACAACAAAGTGGAGCTTGTGGATTGAGATAGAAACTATTTACTAATAGAAAAGGAAAATAGTTACAACTGTATGTGTGTATATATATATGAATGTGTAGAACAAGTGAGGCACAAGGAATTGCTTGACACTTCCCACTGCCCAACTGGACCCAAGTTGTGCAAGAGAACCAGAATAACTCCCACCCCCTCCAAAACTCCTTCCACTTGAAGTTTCATACCATTTCATGTAGTATAAAATATTCCTTTGCCAGTGTAAGTCAGCTGTCCTGATCCTGTCTCAGCTCCTATGAAGAAAACAATTCTATTCCAGCTGAAATTATGACAGTAGGAAAGAGAACTGGAAAAATAACATGAAGTGGAACTTGTGGGTTGACATCAAAAACGATTTGCTAAGATGGGAAAGGAAGAGGAAAGGAAAACAATATTAATGATAATTGTGTATATTTAGAAATAAATTGTGCACAACACAGTTGCTCACTACCTGCTGACCAATGCCCAAACAGTTCTGTAGCAGCAGCTGACTCGCTGACCAGATCCCTCAGTTTTATATTTTTTTTTCACATGATATCTTGTGGAATATCCCTTTCGACAATTCAGAGCAAGTGTTCTGGTTCTTTCCCCTACTAGCTCCCTGTGCGCCACCCTAATCCACTTCACTGACAGGACAGTACAAGAAGTTAAAATGCCCTTGACTCTGTGCAGCACTGCTCAGCAACTACTGAACTACTGCAATGTTAATGACATTGTTTTTCTCCTAAAGCCAAAACACAGTATCATACCAGGCACTATGAATTAAGATCAATTTTTTCTCAGCTAAAACCAGAAGTAAGAAGGGAATTCTGAGTATATCTGGTCCAACCTGTGCTCAAGCAGGGGCACCCGGAGCAAGTTGCCAAAACCATGTCCAGAAAGCGTTTCAAGATCTTCAAGGAGGAGATTCCAATACCTCTCTGGGCAGTGTGCTATCACCTGTACAGTACAGAACTGCTTCCTGGTGTTCAGACATCCAGTCTGTGCCTTTTGCCTCTTGTTCTGGCACTGGGCACTACTGAAGGCAGCCTGGCTTCATCCTGTCTGTAGACTTCCTTGATGTACTCAAGCACATTGATGAGATTTCTCACTCAGCCTGTAGTCTGAACAGTTCCAGCTTTGAGCCTGTTCTCACAGGAGAAGGCTTTCATTGTTTTGGTGGCCCTTTCTCTGAATTCTTTCCAGCATGTCAATGTCTCTCTTGTACTTGGTGGGCCTAAAACTGGATGTAGTACATCAGGTGCAGCTTTTCCAGTGCTGAGCAGAGAAGAAGTATCATGTCTCTTGACCTGCTGGCAATTCTTTATCTAATGTAGCCAAGAATACTTCTAGCCTTCTTAGCAGCAAGGAGATGTTGCTGACTCTTCCTCAACTTCGTGTCCACTAGAACTCCTAGGTTGTTTTCTACAAAATTACTTTCCAGTTTGGTGGCCCTACTATGTACTGGAATACTGGATCCTCCTGATCTGTAGGACTTTGTACTCCTGCTCATTGACTAACGAGATATTTGCCAGCTCGTGTCTCCAGCTTGTTGAAGTACCTCTGGATATTTGGTGAGTCTCTACCCCACATTTTGTGTCATTTGCAAATCTAATGAGGGTGAGCTCTACACCATCATCCAGATCATTAACAAAGATATTAAACAGAACTGGACCCAGTATTGGCGCTGGAGTACTCTGCTTGTTATTAGTCTCCATATTCGCTTTGCACCATTGATCTCTACTGCCTGGCCTGGCTGTTTAGCCAGTTTTCAATCCACCTCACTGTCTGCTCCTCCAGCCCATACCTTAATAGCTTATCTAAGATGATCTCCTGGGAATCAGTGTAAAAGATCTTACTGAAGTCCAGGAGGACAGTATCTACTGTTTTCCCCTCATCTGTCAGGTTGGTCATTTAATTACAGAAACTCAGCAGACTAGTGAAGTATAAGTTTTCCTTGTTGAATCCACCCTAGCCACCTCTGATTTTCTTATCCTTCAAATACCTGGAAATCTTTTGCAGAATTAGCTATTCCATTACCTTCCCAGGGATCAAAATGAAGCTGACCAGCCTTTAGTTCTCTGGGTCCTCTTCCTTGTCCTTTTATAGAAGAGTGATACTTTATTTCCTCCAGGCTTCAAGCACTTATTTCGGTTGCCATGATGGACCGAAAATTACTGAGATGCCTTATAATTACATCTGCCACCTCCTTCAGCACTCAGATACATCACATCAGAGCTTATGACCTTACAAATATCCAGTTTGCTCAGTTGTTCCCTGAGCTGATCCTCTTCCACTGAGGGCACAGCCTCCTTGCTTCAGCAACATCTACCTGGGAACTTAGATTCCCAAAGGCCAGACTTTCTGGTGAAGACTGAAACAAAGAAAGCATTCAGTACCTCGGCATTTTCACTGTCCTGTTCAACCAGGTCTCCCATTTCATTTAGCAGGGGGACCACATTTTCTCTAATCTTCCTTTTGTCACTCATGTAATTGTAGAAGCCCTTGTTGTCTTTGACACTTCTGGCCAGATTCAATTTCACTTGGGCTTTAGCTTTCTTAATTCCATTCCTGGATGCTCTGACTGTATCTCTGTATTCTTCCCAGGTTACCCATCCTTGCTTACACTGTCTGTAGTTTTACTTTTTCTGTTCGAGTTTGGTCAGGAGATCCTTCTTCATCCATGCAGGCCTCCTGGAAATTTGCCCAACTTCCTCTTTTGCATTGCTTTTGAGGAAGCAATCTTTGGATTGTTGTTGGAGGAAGCAATCTTTGAATAATAGTCAGCTTTCTTCAGCCACTCTTCCTTTCAAAGCCTTATTCCAAAGAGCTCTACCAAGCAGATTTTTGAAAAGCTCAAAGTCTGCTTTTCTGAAGCCCATGGTTGTAAGGTTTGCTTTTCATCCTTCTTTTTGCCATAAGGGTTTCGAACTCCACCATTTCATGGCTACTGCAGCCAAAGCTGTCTGTGAGTTTCATACTCCCAATAAACTCTTCCTTGTTGGTAAGAATGTGGTCCAGCGTAGCGCTTCTTCTTGTCGGTTGCTCACTTGGAGGAAGAAGTTATCATCACATTCCAGGAACCTCTAGGTTGCTCATGTCCTGCTGTGTTGTCCCTCCAAGAGATACGTATTGGTTAAAGTCTCTCATGACAAGAGCTTGTGAACATGAGGCCGCTTCTGTGTAGAGAGCCTCATCTGCACAGTCTCTGTGGTCAGAGGGCCTGTAGCAGGCTTTCACTATAAGGTTACCTTCACTATAAGGTCAACTCACTTAGCCATGTATTTCCATAAACTCTCAGTCATCTCCTCATCCATCCCTAGGCAGGGCCAGTCATGGTAGCCATCCCATTACTTCTCTGTAACCATCCCATTACTTCTCTGTGATCCCAATGAGAATGTAGCCATATGCAGGTGTCGTATACATGTTTATTTCCTATACTGTGTGCATTAGCATATAGGCATCTAACAGAGGCACCCCTAGCATGCTGTCTTCTTAACTTGCTCTCTGCTAACCTGTATGTGCTGGAGGTGAACCTGATTAATCCCCATTTTATTAATTTTGTGATCCCTATTACATCACTCCATGCCCTTTGTTCAGCAACCCTGTCTGACATTGCTATGAAAAAGAAAAAAAAAAACCAACAAAGGAGGAATCTTTTCAGAGAAAAATTAATAATTCAAACATTGAATACATGAATCATTAATGGCAAACTTTTCATTTGTACAGTTCAGCCGGGTTCTCCTGTGAATCTCACATTAGAAACACAAAGATCTGCTAATATAATGTACCTTTGGGCAAAATGGTCTCCACCTCTATTAGCTGATGCCAGCTCTAATCATTTATATCACTATGAGCTACGACTAAAACCTGAGGAAAAGGAAGAGTGGGAGGTAAGAGAAAAATATATACATAAATGCTTTTCAGTGAGTTCTACTGTCAGAATTTAACTGGTATTATAAAAATCTTAGTTTCCATAAGGATAGTAGAATTACTATAATGAAATATTGTTATATAAAGGAAAATTCTGTCATCGTTTGTAGAGAGTGAAGGTAATGGTATTTGCGTAACTATCCTAAGGATGTTATATAATAAAATGAAAAGTAAATAAATCTAGTTAGCCTACTGGTTGAATATGTAATTTTGATTTTCATCAATATATCTACTGCTGAGTATCACAGTAAGACTGCTCAGTTTGCAAAGTTTAAGCAAAATTGTCAGTTTGGTGATTCATTAAAATATTATTAATGAGAAATCAGTTAGCTATGCAATCAAAAGTCAGTATCAGCAATGCAGAAGCTAAATCACAATACTAGGCACTCAAAAGACACCTACAAATTTCTAAATGCATATTTACAACTAATCACAGAAATATGCTTTATGCAGAGATTCCTCTCTGACAGACAGGGAGATACAAGCACATCCAAGTCCCTGCAAGTGCAAAGTCCCATATTCGTACCCACTTCTTCAGGGGAAATGGATGCCCTGACTTAACACAAACCCACTCTCTATCCTAGAGTACACTAAACTGTACTCCAATAAGAGAGTATACCATGAGATCATTCGCGTGCATCTGGGTTTGGGTCCCTGCCTGTGGCAGCCCGCACTGCCTGGAATGCACAACATCAGGGAGGGACGCCACTCTGTCTAGTTTAAGTAGAAGTCACGATGCTAACAGAGCAGCTTCTGATAGCATCAAACTGAAACTGCAGCTACTGTGGTTTCCTGTCTTCCGTCAGCGCTACAAATGGCTGTGCTTCTTAAATTCCGCTTTTTAAGGTGACTCTTTCAAAAGACTCTCAGTAACTCCCTAGTTATTCTTAATTGGGCTTTGAGTCACCATCCCCCTCAACATGATTTGCTGGGACAGTCTTCCTCTCCCTGAAATTTTGGGGTGTTCTACTCACACCATTTATCTTGCTGTTCTCAGCTTCTCAGTGTCACTGAAGAGCTTTCCTGTTCATTTGGTTGCTAGCTTCACTTCTTTGTAATTAACATCCTAGCAAATATGTGACTGAAAATTTTGCCTTTCAGAAGTCAGTGACATAAGCATACTTCTTGATGATGTATTTGTTAAAATGCCCTAATTCCTTGTTGTTTTTTCCAGACAGTACCTGTTGGAGTACAGACACAGTGCAAAATAAATAGGTTAAGTGCTGGCATGAGGTATGTTGTTCAGGTCCGTTGTATGTTAGACCTTGGAGAATGGAGTGAATGGAGCTCTGAAAGACGCATTCTGATCTCTGGTGGTAGGTGGATAATTGCTGTTCTGTTAGCTGTGTTTAAAATACAAGTAGCTCAGTGTCGCAAAAGGTACCTAAATGCTAGCCCTGAAAACCTGCTTCCTCACACAGATGCCTTCATAGTGCTGGAGGAACAACTTAGTGCATCTTATCATATTTTTGTGTCACTACATATTTGGTCTTGCTGATCGACTCAGCATCTTGCAAAACTCTCTATGACAAACAGTGTGGAGTTCAGTAGGAAGTCACTTCTGATACAGGTGTGCTTACCTAAATTTTTGGTCATGTCCTGCCACTTAAAAATTGTGGTGACTTCACCTGTAACTGAAGATACCAGGTAGTAGTACTTCTGTAAGAGTCATTCATTTGTTCGCTAACAACTGGACTGAAATTATTGCCCTGCCTAACAGACCATGACATAGCAGCTACCATCAAATGGGAGTAATTATCTGTATCCTGTTGGAACGTTAAATGTTCCAACAGAATGAGCCAAGTTGCCTCAAATCTTCTTCTACCACTAACTGTATTATTCATTATTTGACATGGAGTTTGCTGAAGTGCCCTTAATAGAAGATATTTTTAAAATGTCCCGCTTTCAGATCTGCCCTAGGCAATTATAGATTTAGAAAATCAATGGCCTTACTCTGAATAATAGAGAATATATATTTTGATATAATAAGACCATATTTGCCATGGATACATAATTGCAAATGTTTCAAGAACATTAGAGTTTTTATTAGCATCAAACTATTCAAAATTTAAGCATCTTCTCAGCCCTATTTTTTGCGCAAATGATTTTCTTGAGACTATAGTAACATCATCAGAAATCCACATAATTGTAAATTGCTTGGCAGGAATCAGGCAATTAGAAGGAGTACTGAGCATAACGTCATTGTAGGAAGAAAAACAAGAATTACTTCTTTGTGTCTTTTGAGTCATCTCAGCATAGGCACTTCAAAAGAGAATTACTGGCAGCTACATAAACACAGGCAAACAAACTCTTTTTTTTTTGTCCTGAGCCAAAACAAGTGACTCAGTAGTTTTTTCTGGAATAATTAGCATTTTAAAACACATTTTTTGAAGAAAAAATGCTTATCTAGATGATAGATTGAGTAAATAATTTTATAAAACCTGTTGTGATGGTATTGAGAATCCTTTACCAGATTTGGGGTGCAGAGGAGAGCCACAGCCAGAGAAATAAATGTCGTTCCTCATTGTATCTTCAGTGGGAAAGGGTTTTGAATCTAGGTTGAAGTTGCAGGCTGCTGCCCTAGCCACTGAACACCATTTCTTTCTTGTGCTAATAATGAAGCAAAATATTTTCCTGCCTTGTAAGGAAAAAAATGTATATATATATATATTTTATATATATATATTATTTTCTAGTGCTCCTTTTGATTATGTTTTATAAGCTCTGGAGTTGACTTAATGCATTAAATGCACTAATTATTTCATTCATGTATCCATTGCAGGACAGTCACCTCCTGAAAAGCCTACAATAACCAAATGCCGCTCCCCAGAAAAGGAAACATTTACCTGTTGGTGGAAACCTGGTTTCGATGGAGGGCATCCTACTAACTACACTTTACTTTACAGCAAAGAGGGGTAAGATGCTGTATATAATTATTCACTATTTTGTGAGAAAATCAAGCTTAACTGGTTTTTGCATTTAAGAGATGTGGTTTTCTTTGGCTTTTGTGCAAGTGACATATTCTGGAATAGTACTAGCAACAACATATTTAAGGTTGAAAGAGGATCTCTTTATAGTGTTGGCTTTTTCAGAATGCTGTGAATTGTAATGGCATAGATAAACTGCCTTGAAAGTTGCAGTGGTGCAGGAACTGCATATCAGTGTTTGCAAAACAAAGGCACAGCTGTGTAACACCTTGACCTCATAGCTCCAGGAAAAAAGTTTTCAAAAATGATGAGAGTTGTCTGCTTCAGGGCTAACTAAAGGTTAAAGAGTGTTACTGAGGGCACTATCCAAATGTCTCTTCGACACTGACAGGAATGGGGCATCAAGCACTTCTCCAGGAAACCTGTTCCAGGGTTTGACCATTCTCACAGTAAAGAATTTTTCCTAATGTACAGTCTGAATCTCCCCTGTTGAGAACCTTAACATCCCTTTTATATTGTGGAGCACACAGCAGCACACAAATCTTGTTGAGGCTACATCAATACCATATATAGCAGAGAATCACCTCTTCTGATCACTGGCTGTGCTGTGTGCACAAGGCAGTTTGCCCTCTTGGCTGCCTGGGCACACTGCTGGCTCGTGCTGAGCTGCTGTCTCCAGCACCTGTAGATCCCTTCCTGCTGAGCTGCTCTCCAGCCACTCATCTCCAGTCCAATGCACCTGTGTCCAGCATTGCTCTCTCCCTGATGCAACACCAGGCATTTGTCTGTGTTAAACTTCATGCCACTGCTGACTGCTGAATGCTCCAGTCTAACTAGACCACTCTGTAAGGCCTCTCATCCCTCCAGGTAGTTAGCAGCTCCCAGTTAAGTGTCACTGGTGAACATGATGAGGATGCATTCCACTCCTGCATTATAGAACACTGATAAAAATAATGAACAGAAATGAACCTAGAATGAAGCCTTGGGAAACACTACTAGTAGCGAACTGGCAGCAGGGTAGCTCCATCCCCTACAACCCTTCAAGCTCTGCCATTGAGCTATTTGAGTAATTGTTGCTTATCTCACAGTTGAACATTTTATTCAGAAAAATCTTGTGAAGCAGTATCAGAGGCATTTCTTTTAGACTATCAATTCTCCAAGCATCCTGGAAAAAAGTGCTATGTGTTCTCCATGAACTTTCTTTCCGATTACTACCTTCTTTGGGAAGCTTGGGAATGGATTTTGAGGACAAGTACAAATTATATGTTTTTGAGGAACAGGTGGTAAATGACACAAATTCTGAAAGCTTTTGATGTGGGCAGAATTAATTTCAATGTGAAATGAACATTGGAAATTTTCTGTTTTTAACAGGAGGGTTAGAAGACTTTGGCAATAGCTTAATGGCTCTCAGAAACTTTTGAGGGCCATGTAGTAGATAAGGGCATTCGGAAAAGCAACAGTGGCACTCTACTACTGCATGCTCAAGAAGCCTGCACTTTCCAGGCTTTGTAGTCTTAGTTTTGGGGTAGAGGAGTTGGGTTCTTTAGTTGCCTTTTAGTGTGAAAGCAGTATTATTATTTCCTTCACATTATTAGGCATATAGAATCAAATCCAGCCCTGTAGAGTGTTACTACAAATGCAACTACTTGTAAACAAAGTCATGTGTTTTAGTCTGTGTAATCACTGTGATTCTTTCATTTCAGAGAAGAACAAGTTTATGAATGTCCAGATTACAGAACTGCAGGCCCCAATTCTTGCTACTTTGATAAAAAACACACTTCTTTCTGGACCATATACAATATTACTGTCAAGGCAACTAATGAAATGGGAAGTAACAGCTCTGATCCTCATTATGTGGATGTGACCTACATAGGTAAGAGACAGTGTTTTCTGTGGAACCGAATAATTCAGGGTCATTAGTTTCGATACAGTATTTTTTATTCCAGCTCTTCTCATAGACTGCAGTAAAATACATGTAAAAATACGTAAGAACAGATACCATCTTGTCTGTTGTAGTAGTAAATCAGAATTCATCCTCCTAGCATTTGAAGGCCAAAAGTGCTGAAAGCTTTAAAACTACATTCAGATAATCATTTATTGGATCCACATATTTCCTCCAGTCAAGCCAAAAGAAACACCATCTTGCTAAAATCCTTTTCTAAAAACTGCATTCAAATTGACCTTTTAGCTAATAATACCTAAATTTTACTACCTGAAAGTTGTTTTCTGAGATTTAATTTTCCCAGGAGAAGCTAAATCAGTGTTTTTATAGCAATGTACTGATAATCTCTCAGACTTTTTCTACAGAATGACTGTGGACAAGTATTTAGGTTATTTTCTAAGGGAAAGAACATTACTGCAAATAATCATTTTTCTATGAAGGTTGAGGCTGCTGAGAACCTGATAACTGAAAAAGGGCTTGTGGGAAAAAAAAAAAAAAAAAGAAAAAAAAAAAGTGTTATATTTTACCTCTATGCCCTGACTTCTTGGTAAACTTTGCATCAGAAAGTGGTAAAACGTATGCATTATATGCAGGAGCTCTACCTGCAAACTGGGGTAGCTGCAGGCCTGGTTGGCAGAAACCTACATTCCATTTTATTTTTGAAGCGTATGCAGGACTTTAGTATTACTGTTTAAGTATCCATCCCTGTGCACATCAGGATAATGCTGCTGTATTTTCTCAGTGTGAAAGATTGAAGGGGACCAGCTTTGTAATTTAAATCTGTGTTTTCAGCATCCCTAATGGTATACACCAATTTTGATAAGATTATGATACAAAACAGCATTTATAATGCACCATTAAAGATGTTAACTTTCTCTTAACTTTGAAATACAGTGTGGAGAACAGCAACCTTAAATGATGATGTGAAAAAAATATGTTTTAGGTGATAAATGATTCAGGCAAATTTCAATATGAACTCCATTTATTTAGTGTTCTTCAGTGTCTACAAATTTATAAATCCTTGTTTATCAGGAAATTCTTGCTTCCCATATTTAAGCAGTTCCAAGTTACTAGACACAATGGAGGTGGCAATTTGCCCCGCATACCACTTCATATATTTTCCTAAGATGCAAAGAAAAATCATTCATACTTTTACTATCAGTTCTCTTATTTTAACAGTACAGCCAGATCCTCCTGCAAATGTTACTCTAGAATTAAAAAAGCCAATAAATAGAAAACCATATATGGTATTGACATGGTCTCCACCCCCACTGGCTGATGTCAGATCTGGATGGCTTACCCTCGACTATGAATTGCGACTGAAGCCTGAAGAAGGAGAGGAATGGGAGGTAAGAATCTTGCAAGTTTTTACTTACAGTTTTTCTTGATCAGTTAGAGTTTGTTAGTTATGTCCCATGCCTGACTATAATGAAGCAGGCACATGGAATAATTCATCCTTTTTCAAAAGTAGTGCTTGTTTGTTCCTCGTATTCCTATTGCAAAGACTAGTATCTCAGATGCTGCTGTGTGATAGCAAGTGATGAAGTACTTATTTTCAGTTGTGGCCATTATATATGAATCATATTGGCACAGTAGTTTAAATTGTTAGGTCTCATTCTGACAGGTTTATTTTTTCTGGTAATTTGTTCTCAACCACAAATACTTCTTACATGACAGAAAGCTCAATGACATTATGAAAAATCATGTGCATTTGTGCAAATAACCATTAGGTAATGGTTGTAATAGTTGTTATGGTCACATAATAATTATGCTCTATACTAAGGATCTGCAACTCATACAAGTAGGGACAAATTGTAGGCTCCAGCAATTGGTATTTGGCTGTATTGCCTTTTTGTCTGCTGCAAAACTAAACTACCCAGCCATCTCTGTACTGACTGCTGCCTTCCCTCTGCCACTGTACTTCCCAGATCCTTGGCCACTATAGAATCCACTCTTTACTACCCTGCTCCACATTCCTTATTTGTTATGCAGCTTCTTCCCCAGTTGTTCTTTCTTGCCTCCTTCAGTTCCTGCTGTGGTGGGTCCCAGATTGCCACATTTCATTTCTACTTCTCATATGCACATGATGTGTCTTTATAGCAGTTTAATTTGCACACTACAGCAGAGACAGATATCATCACTGCTGCATTATGTTAGAAAGTTGAACTACAGAAATAAAATAAATGTAACATTACTTCAATGCCCTGTGTAACAATTATTAGGAAGATACCCAGTTTTATGCGGGTCACACTGAAAGTAATGCTTCTATTTATTTCCATGGAAATTAAAACAGATAGAGAGATCACAATAACACTGTTTGATGGAACAAATTCTCAGAGAAAAAAAGTTTTTCCAGCATAGTCACCACCATTATCTGTAAATTTTGACCAGCAATAAACAAGAGCCTGCATGCTTGTAAAAAATCTGTACCAGTGGAGATGACCCACTGTCACCACTCACACACCACTCACACCACTCACTGCCTCAGTCTGCTCGCAACCACTGTTTGATCTCTATAAACATTCAGCAAGCATCAGTGAATGTCAGTAAGTGACATTTTTTCCACATGGAGGAATTCAGTGACACACCGTTGCTTCACATGCACTTGATGTCAGACTCCATTCTGTCAGACTGCTCCTGTGCTGCCATCTGTTGCACAGAAACAAAATGTAATGGGATATTGGTGGGAAGATTCCACCCCTACTAACATTCCACCAACTTCCACCTCTGACATCATGGTCCGACATCATAAAATAGGAAGCATTACTTTCAGAACAGCCATGATATGTTCCCAACTTGATTATCAGGATTAAACTAGCTATGATTTTCTTTGAAAAATATCTAATTTTTATATGGATTTTATGATTTTTAATTCATTTTCAGACTATTTTTGTTGGACAGCAAACACAATATAAAATGTTTAGTTTAAATCCAGGAAAGTACATTGTACAGATTCACTGCAAACCAGACCACCACGGATCATGGAGTGAATGGAGCTCAGAGAACTACATTCAAATTCCTACTGGTGAGTGGCCATGTTCCCTTTCAATAACTGTTATTTCATGGAAGTTCATGTAATACTTCTGTAGGTTGTCTGTAGCACCCATACAGATTGACAGCCCACTGATTCCTAGGACAGTAGGAATATCATTGTTAAGGTAACTGAATTCTCAGCTTCCCTGCACCACAGGGGACAGTTAGCTGTACCCTTCATTAATCTTAGAAGTCAAACAGATAAATCAATTTTCTTACAAACTTAAAGCACATCCTTTCTGTTTATTGCCTTATTCATATTTGTTTTCATGATGGTAGTTTTTAATAAAAAGAGTGATAATAACGTAATTAAAAATGCTAGGTAGAAAACAAAGTGACTTCCTGCAGTCAGTAACAGCTCTTCCTAATGCTTTATTTGGAAAAAATTCAGAATAAACATCTCAGTGTAAAAAGTGTCACATTAAGTAGAAATCTTTAAAAATATATAACTGTTGACCATTCTGCCCGAAATCTAATTATGTCTGTATTTGATAATGAAATTACTAATGTTAGTCTAAGTAGACTTGAACCCTGTGAAAAATATTTCCATCTTAATGCATTTTTCTAATTTTTTCACAGGAGTTTATTTCCTGCACAATGCTATTAATAAGAAGTATATTAATTACCAGATGTTGCAGTGATTATTGAGATATGTCTGTGCTACTAGAGGCCTCTAGATTCAATACCAACTTTGGAAGATTTAACCACTTTTTTCAAATAAAAAAATTTGATACTTTTTGTGCATTCTGACTGTATTTCCTAATGCATCCTTAAATAATTCCCTTTGTTTCCTAGACTACAGGGTAAAAGATATGATTGTGTGGATCATCTTGGGTGTCTTGTCATCTCTCATATGTTTAATCATGAGCTGGACAATGATTTTAAAAGGATACAGGTAAGTCAGAAATTTCATAATTTTGTGTAGCTGTAAACTCATAAAACTTTTCCAAAAATAAGCTATTAACGTTTGATTTACTTTCATATCGATTTTAGCCTTCTTAGTAGGAGAGATACATAGCATAAATTACAGATTTATTACTTTGTATTTGCAACTGGTAGAGAAGTATTTCTGTTCTTTAGGTCTCAGTCTTCTTGGTCTTTTTGGTAAAGACTACTGGTATTAAATCTGACCATCCCAGTTAATCTCTAAGTACTTAGCAGATATCACTTGAAGTATTCCGGCTTGTATTGAAGATGCACATTGTAGGTTTGGCCTAATTGCCTAATAGAAATTAGGTCATATTATGAATTCAGTCTTTCTGCCTACATGTCTGTCAATTCCCCAAATTTATTAAACCGTACTGTAATTCCATCTAACTCTGGAAGAGAAAGGTGTCACAATGTTTGTATCTTTCATACAAGTCCACCAAAAATAATGTCTGAGTAATGCAAAGAGAAAGAAACTGCTTTAGTATGATTAGTAGGAATCAAATGACAATCAAGTATGTACATAGAGACCCACTGGTCTTCCTGGACTGTGCCCAACTGATTTAGTCAGTGATGAAGTTACTGATGAAGTGACAGTGATAAAGGTGCATGTTCTGTTGGCAAATTTGCTGAGGATGCATTCCACTGACGTAAATGAACAGGACTGGCCTTAGATTTGAGCCCTGGGGAACGTTGCTAGTAACCGGCCACCAGCCAGGTGTAGACTTATTCCTTGCAACCCTTGGAACTCTACAATTGAGTCAGTTCATCACTCACTGGGGTATGAGCCTGTTTGTCTCACAGTTGGACCATCTGTCCAGAAGGATGCTGTGAGGGACAATATGAAAAGCCTTACTGAAATCTGGAAATACTACATTTCCTGCCTATATTTAATCCGCCAAGCAAGTGACTTTATCAGAGAAGGAGGTCAAATTACTAAGACAGGACTTTTCCTTCACCCCATCAGTCCCTCCAGTGTTGAGCTATTCCTTTACAATTTCAGTGATGGAAAGTCGCTGCTCCCCTAATCATGGTCCTCTATCTCTGAGGTCTGAGCAGACCAAGCTCTGTTGCTTGGACTGAGGCAAAAAATGCATTAAATATTTCCACTTCTTCCTCCTCCTTACTTGCTTGGTGACTAACCACTACAGATACTAGTCCAATGTTTTCCTTTGGCTTCCTCTTGCTGCTTAAGGTCTTTTTTGCCTGGCACCCCACTGGCTCATGTGAATGCAAGCTGTGGCTTTTCTTAGTTTCTCTCCAGACATTATCTTGCTTCCAGAGATCATATACTTTGTTTTCTATCCTGTTCAGCCAGGCTGGTCTTCTGCCCCAGTTGCTTGACTAGCAACACAATGAGATTGCCTTCTCTGTGGCTTTTAGAAGTTGGATGTTGAAAAGTGACCAGTTCTGTGTCTATCTATCTGTATCTATATCTATCTTTATCTATAGAGTAGACTCCTGAGCTACTCTGCTGACTAGCTCCCTGAGAACCTTAAGATTTGCTTTTTTCAAGTCCAGGATGGCAACTCTCCTAAACTTTTTTCTTTAGTCATAGTTTTCTTTTAGTTGTCTCCCCAGGGCCCTGAATTCTCTTCTGATAGACTTCAGGCTTCCTATTGCTGTGTCACTGGTACATACATGAAAGAGAAGGAGTGGGTAGGAGGGGGCCTATACTTTTATCTCCTGCATTTGTACTGTTTATGTTTTGCTTTTTTTTGTTTTTCTAGGATGATAACTTTTATCCTACCACCAGTTCCAGGACCAAAAATAAAAGGTATAGATACACATCTGTTAGAGGTGAGTTCCATTGATAACAGTAAAAGAATTTGCCGTTACTTACTTTTCCAGATTCTGTAACAGTAAAAATAATTACCATAATTAAATATAAAACAGATTTAACTTAATCAGTGTTAAAAATAAGCAAAACTTTCAGGCTGATCATAAGGCAGGTTATGTAGGAGATATGGTTTTGCTTGGCACTAGAAGTAGTATGACATTTGATGACAGGGTGTGTAACTGCAGTTTCTTCCTGAGACACCACAAGATCTTAATTCCTACGTGACCTAAGTAGATCTTATGGAAGTCATTCTCCACAGTCTCTTGCCATGTTGAGGAGACAAGGGCATAGCATATCTGTCATTCTCCTCCATTTCCTCCTTTCCAAACCTTTGAAGCCCTTATTTGCAGAAGTTCCTCAGTCCTTCCATTTTAGGAACATAAAGTCTGGGATTGTCTCCCTCCAGAGAGAACTCAAGGGAAGTTCTTTTGTTCTTTCAGTATTTTCTGCAGTTGTGTAAATTCGTTTTAGGTCTAGAGCTATAAAAAGTGTTTGCATACTAAATATGTAAACTGTTTATAATTGCACTAGTCAAATAATCCCTACTGTTAGTAGTGAAGAAATAACATTGTCTTATCTGGTATGCCCTCAGACAGGGAAATCTGAAGAACTGTTGAGTGCACTTGGTTGCCATGGTTTCCCTCCAACATCAGACTGCGAGGAACTACTGATTGAGTATCTGGAAGTAGAGGACAGTGAGGATCATCAACTTATGCCAAGTCATGACAATGGTCGTCCCAGTAAAAATGCAAAAATTACACCCAAGGAAACAGACAGAGACTCAGGACGAGGGAGCTGTGATAGCCCTTCTCTGCTTTCTGAAAAGTGCAGGGAGACCTGCGCCCTTCCATCAGCACTTCAAACACAAGATGTAAGAGATGTTCAAGAAAAGAAAGCAGGGAAAAGAAGCTGGGAAAGTCACTGTGTAGGCTCAGAACGAAAAGCACTCCTTATTAACAATGAGAGTGCAAAATCATCCAGATGGCCTGCAGTTCAGTTACCTAACAATCAGCCTCCTGTTTTTGCGTACCACAGCATTCTAGAAGCTAACAAGATAACACTGACTACCACAAATATGAATGTTGCAGCAGTTTTGGTGGAAAATGAAGAAAAGCATCAGTCACTATATACTATCTCTGAAACCATCCCTGGAGGCATGGAAAAGCAAGAAGAGATGGAAAATTTGCTTTCCAAAACTGAGCAAACCACAGTGCGGGTCAAACAAAACAGATCCAATGAAAAGTCACCGTTTTTGGGTGCTGCATTCATGGATTACGTAGAAGTTCACAAAGTCAGACAGAATGAGGAACCATCAGTATTACTGAAACATAAAGAAAACAGTGGAAAGATTGAAAAATACACTATTTCAGGAGCCAGCAAAGAATACACAAAGGTCTCAACAGTCATGAACCATAGTATTCTAGTATTAATGCCAGATTCACGAGTTCTGCACGCACCTACGGCCCAAGAACCTGCAAAAGAAACATCTCAGAACCTTCAGCAAGGTCAAGTGGAAAAAAACATGAGCTACTGCCTGACAGCTCCACGTGACTGCAAAAGAGAAACTAGTGGATCAGACTACATGGACCCATCCTCATTTATGCCCCCCTTTAAATAATTAAAAGTGTGATCACTCTTTATCAGGTAATGCTACAGAATGAATCAAATACAATCAGTATAGTAATGCTATGGCTTAAGATTATGCTACTACATCACAACTGTAGCTTGTACCTTTTCCTAGCTGAGAAGTCTGTGATCTACATTTGATTTTGTTAATAGTTATGTACAGTAAAAAAAAAAACAAAACAAAAAAAAAAAAAACAACGTAGCACAGAGTTCCTTTTAAAAATAGCCTTCTACATGTATTATATAAAGAATAGAATAAACTATGGGTTGACATAACAATCATAGAAGTAAATCTTGGATCACTGACACATGATTCTTACAGAAGGAAATGTGGAAATGGTACTCTATGCCATGAAAAATACATTATGAATTAATTATTCAGTTCTGCAATTCTTCTGTAGTTTGATTAAACCTAAGGGAATTTGCAGATTCAACAAAGACTGAGATTGTTTTGGCCTGGTGCACCATAATTGTCTGAGCAGTTTCTAAATCAGATATATCATTACACAGTAACACTGATATACAATGTATTTTTTTTCTGAATGTATTGTGACACTAGATTAAGTTTTCTTTATATTCTTTCTCAATTCTTAAGAAAAATGAAGCTCTTACGTATGAAACAATCATATATGAAAGAATATATTTAACTAATAGCATTAAAATAACAAACTCTTCACAAAATGACAGAAAACTTTGCATCCTATTCCAATCAAATCGAACTCGAAAAAACACAAAAACAGGGCACTATTTGATACACTGCCTTACTGTACATATGACACAATTCTACTTTAGTACAATCCCATACATTTAACAATGTATTTTTAAAGGATATTTTTCTATTACCAAGAAAAAAAAAAGCAAAATAAAATATTTTTTAATTTCCCAATGTTATTTTGCTAATTAGTAGCTGAAACTGAGGTAACAAGTAAAGCTGCCATTTCTATACAAAGCATAAAATTAAACTTTATACTAATCAAGAATATGAAGTAATTTTTAAACTGTATTTCTAATATATTGCTGATGTATTAGTATTTGAATTGTAAATTATTTATTTCAGATGTTTTTTACCAGCTGTTATTATAAAATTAAAATAGAATGTAGGTTTTGAGAGTAAAGCTTCTTTCCCACTTAGTCTGTACTCTTGTCAATCATGATCATCTGCATCCTTAGCAATTGTGTACATTTTTATCTGAGCTTGGAAGGCAGGTTTGAAGACAGACTTGTCATAATGAACTCACCAAAATGAATTCTGGAATTCGTTCTCCGCAGTCAGAATATGAGGCATAACCTCATAATCAGTGCTCTGCTGAAATAGTGGTGGGAGTGAGAGAAGAGTCCATGACTCAAAGTGGAATCACCATGAAGTCATTACAGCCCTTCTTGAAACAAAAATTTAATATACTCCAGGAAAGTAAGAACAAGTGGCTGATTAAAGCTGGGTCAAGTATTTAGCAAACAGCACTAGCTTCGGGAGGAATTAGGAACATAAGGTAAACAAAATTGTACTGTACATGTTGTGGAAAGTATATTTACCATAGATGAGCTCTCTTCTTTCTTGTCCTTCATGTACAGCTTCATATTTCCCTAGCTTTTTATGATTTTTTGCACTGAGGCAGCCTTCCTGCAGTATCGGGTAACCTTGTGCAGAGCCACACTAAACAGATCCTCTGATTTTGAAGGTTACAGAAGGCTGCATCTGCTTTGTCAAAACAGATTTTCATACTATATTTCCATGCCATGGAACTGCTCAAATACAGATCTGTTAAGCTGTCTAGTCCTTTCACTGGCGGGACTTAAGATTTTAACTAATTATCTGTGTGTATATAAACACATTTTGGGGATACTGCAACTTCTACTTTAGGCATCAAATGTAGAGTCTGTGATCTCTGCTTACAATGTATTGCCCACTTCTGGAGGCTGATCTGGGCAATTGGATGTTCTGATGGAGGCGTAGCAAGAGATCTTAAATTCCTAATTCAGCCACTCAGTTCAACACTTGAAGACATGAAGTGGCTGTTTAAGAAAGCAGCCAAGCATAAAATTTTGTTTGGTTATAGGTAACAGGACAATGTTATTGTAGCATTTGAGGTATATCTTACAGGTTTCCTAGAAGTACTAAAAAAGTACTGAAAAGAAATTATCAAGCTATCAGTCAAAACTGGAATGTTTTGCAGGACAGTAATATGTCTCCATGTGTTTAAGCTGATAGCGTACTATCTCCTTCTGACAGTGCTTCATCCTTCTGATTGTAATGCTCTATTTTTCTGACTGAGTCTCAAAGAGCTGATCCGTATCAGACAAGTTCTCTTACCTTACAAGATAGCCATGCCTGAGCTGAGCAGTTATTTTCTACTCCAAGCAGCATGTATAAGGATGTGCTGCTACAGGCCTTTTTATTTATCCCTCTGGTGATGCATAGAGGCTATAGAATCTTACCAGACTACAGCCTAATGATGTTCCTTACATAGTGCATTTTTTGGGTCATATACAGGTTGTTACAGAACATGTGACAAGGTGTCAGCAACAGGCTGTTGCTATTCTCCTGGCTACATTTGATCATAGGCAGGCAGATACAACTTTTAGCAGATTTTAAGTGTATTATTCACCTTGCCTAACTGAAAGTGTCTGCATGTGTACCTAGTTTTTGTTATAGGCATAGAGTCTAGAGTATGATTTTCCTGAAAAATACTTGTTTCTGCTTTGGAAGAGATACTATAAACTCCATTGACTGTTACTACATTTGTCTATCCTAGATTGCTCTAATTGGAGTGTATGGCACTCTAGTCTAAAAATCAGAAGTTAAATCTTTTTTTCAGGAATATTTTTAAAATTGACACTGCTTAAGTTGAAATATAGGCTGTGTTAATATTATGAGGTATGTCCAATTCTAATGCAGCTGTTGGGTCCCAGGAACATCATTAAGACCTTGAGTTCATAAAACCCAAAAGATCAGCTTTTCTTCTAAGTTGCCAGAAGAAAAAAACAATCAAGCAAACAAAAAAACAAGAGTATTTTTCCATGAAAAAAAACCAAAAAAAACAAAAAAACAACAAACAAACAAACAAACAAAACAAAACAAAAAAAACGAACAAAAAAACAAAAAAAAACCAAGATTGGAAGGTACTAAAAAGAAAGCCCCTCCAATAGTTCATGGATTCTCCATCAGGAAGAAAACTGAGTCAGAGTTTTTCTATGCCTATCCATAAATTAGTTCTGAAACTGCAAGATAGCTGTAGTTTAAATTACTCTATGGGGCATAAATTCTTTCCCACCTTTGCCAGTGAGAGTCCCATGATGCCAAATCATCATGGCTTTCTGTTAAGTCAGGAATTCTACCAGAGTGGAAGTGACACATTTTTGGTTGCTCAGAAGTAGCCAAGCTTTTTGAAGAATCTAACTAAAGATTTAAAGAATGCTAACTAAACATGACTTGAACACATTTTTCATGAACATTCATCATCCTTTAAGACGAAAAAATGTGCAGTTGGATTGCTTTTCCTTTGGATGCACTTTCATTGTCAAAAATAACCTGTTACTTCCCAGTTGGGAGTAACACCTTCTAAAAGTGGCCTTGAACATCTATACAGAACTTTTGCACATCAAAAGAGAATAAATTCTGTAAAATCAGAATAATCTTCAGCTAAGTTTGAGGGTCTTTGGATGCTGAAATATTTCATTCTGTCTTGTTTGCAACATCATTTTTTATTACAGCTCTTCAAGGAATAGCTTTTTATTATGAAATAGATGAGATTTTGTAGCAATTGTACACAGTGGAATCTTATAAAGTTATGATATACCCTGATGTAATAACAGGTTCCTGACACCTCCTTCGATATACAGTGGTTAAACACATAACGGAGTTTACCCCAGAAACTGGGATTAGCCCCCTTGGTCTTGCACCAAATTTCTCACTTTGAGTGAAGTTTGAATATTTGGGGTTTGTGTGTGTGTGTGTGTGTGTGTGTGTGTGTGTGTTAAAAGTGTCACTTTTAAATTTCAGTAGCATAAAAGGCTTAAAAAGCTCTTCAGAAAATTAATTTTTTAAATTCATGAATTTGAATATTTTAACAATTTTATTAACAGTTTTCTTCAGTATTGAGAAATATAACTCATTCTGGCTTTTCAAATCAGACTTTTTCTTTTAGCAAGGACAACTTTGATGTACCATTCTAATATTTCAATATGGTGTTCCTGGCTTGAAGAAATCTAACTTACTGAAGTGGACATGTGCTGCCAAAACTTACTTTAACAGAAAATGAAGGTTTGAGGAATGCTCTTGATGATACTCTGTAACTACAAAGGATTATTTAATTACAGTGTAGTCAATTGACCTTATATAATACTAATAAGGGGATATACGTATTTATAGAACAAACTGAAACAAAAAATATAGTGCTAATCAGTTTATGTTGAAGTAGTGAATCCTGTGGTGTATTTGTTTATGTGTGTATGTTTAGATGGCTGGAAAATCTACAGTTGCTTCAAATGTCAGTAAAGTATTTAAAGTGTAGTAATAGCAAATGTTAAAAGTGAATAAGAAGCATTTTATTTGTTGTCTCTGAAGCATTGTATACGTGGAGTTCACATCATTAAGCCTGTAAATGTGTTTGGTAATTTCTCATCAACTTTAAAGGATTTGAAAGTGTTGGGCAAGGATACCAAAGTCATCTAAGCCAGTTTATGAATAGTAGACATTTTCTACAAAGCCATAACGACAAATGAAATGAAAGTTTCATAAGATCAGGCACCATTTTCTTAAAGAATCACTACCTCAGATGTTTTGTGTGCTTTTTTTCCACTCCATTTAAAAAGGCAGATGAGCATTTTCCTTTGTGTGTCAAACTTTAAAAAGTTGTGTTTGTAATGTCTAAATTGTTTTTAATGAACAGCTTGTCATGAAATCCTCATTTTTGTCCCACTAGTAATACTAGGATGGGATGTTAGAGATGCACAGCGAAATAAGAAGAGTTGTTATTTGGGGAGAAAAAAAAAAAAAAAAAAACAATGAAGTTTTCATCTTGTAGGGAAAGCCATGCTGACCAGCCTGGCAGTCACAATTTTCCCCTTTCTGTTTTTTGCCACTGCCTGCGTGCTCAACTCACTAGAACTGAGCAAGCTGAGTTCTCAGAGATGCTCTGATTCCAGATCCTGCCAATGGAACTAAGCATTTGTTAGTACTTACTATTTAGGAAGTTTTCAGGTGAGTTTCTGTGAAGGAAATCTTCAAACAGTTCCTGAGTAAGTGAAAATGGAGACTAGCCCCACTTTCAACTGTCGCAGAACACGTACTGAAAACCAAGTCACTCACTTCCTTCAGCTCCAGTGATAGCGATGTGGAAGGATTGACTGAATTACACTGAGCAAGAAAAATCTTGTGGCTTGGCCTTGAAAATCTTTTGAAACAAACTTTGAAAATATTTTGAAACAAATAAAGAAATTTCATCATCTTTCCTGCATATGTCAAGCAGGAGATCAGGATAAATGGAATACAGAAACACATTGTGTATGACGAAAGAAAGAGTAGTTTATGATGGGAGGAGGGACATGGTTGCTGCATGTGTCAGAACAGGAAAGTCCAGTCAATACGCTGTAGGATGGTGACTAAGAAGTGACTGAGAAGACAAGAGGGAGAACAGAAAATGAAAACGAAAGAATAAAATGTAAGAGTAGATTAAAAAAGTCAAACAGTAACGTACAGTAACGTGGGAAAAAAATACTTCTACATCAAAAATGGCAATATGTGCAGCTACTTGAGATAATCCACAAAAAATAGTAATGCCTCATTATGTGCTAACCAGTTGGTAAGATGCTGAAATTGACCACTACAGATCATCTATTACATAAAAGGTGAAAAAGACTAATACATGAAAGTTGGTTACTCTGTTTATATTAATTATGGGGTTTTCTCCCAGTAATCTGGTATTGGTCCCTGACAAACCATGTTTGAAGGGCTGGGCCCCTCTGCTGTTAGATTTCCTACATTCCTAAGGAAAAAATTCACAAAAATAAAGTGTACCACACAGTCTTTAAATAAAACTTCAAGTTTTATTTAATTTTTTTTAACAGATAATTCTTATTTATCCATTCACGATGTCTCACAGATACACTTACCACTCTTAAGCATTCTTATATTGATTAAACGACTGATAAGCTCCAAGAGATAAAGAATTTTGTGGATACTAGCAAACGGTCGGTAGACATTTCTGGGCATTGTTTTAGTTTGTGCCTGTGACAACAGAAACATACATGACTACGACAGTCATTAACACTTTCCTTAATCACAAAGTCCGTGTCTTGGTGATAAATTCTGAGATTTACCCAGACATTTAAAATGCATTTTTGCCATTTAATATAAGTTTTTAAGAGAGACGATGTATGTTGAAAGCAATCCAAAGAAATGTCTGAATTATTTGTATGACCTCTTGCCACGCTGATGGGCTAAAAACTGGGTGTACTCTCAACATTAGTGCACAGAGAAGTTAGAAATAAGAAAGATTTTTCGCACTTTTTATTTTCAGAATTCAGAGCTATTATGCAGTTTGACTCTGTGGTGCTGCTTTTGGTCTAGGTCTTTATCAGATAATTTTATCTTTGGAGAATGCTGCTTCTGTTTTAGTGAGCTGCTCACTACCTTCACCTCATTTTGACATAAGTAAAAATGGATAGATTTCACTTCATTTCCTGCAAGGATCGTAATGATACAAAGACATAGCACTGAGTAAATTTTTAGATGATGCTGGGAATCCCTGTAGACGTCACTAGTAGAAAGTATGCCTTGAGTAGGACAGAACACTATATATGCTAAGGAATACACAGATTTTTCTACAAAATACAATTTTTTTATATCGATATGTTTTAATGTTCATAATGCTGTAGACTACTCTGAATTCTCATTTCCGGATCCATCATTCCAGAGGAAGAGGAAAAACTACTACTCAGATATACTCAGAAGGGATTCCCTGGGCTGATACACTGTTGTTCATTTTTCATCTTGTAAAGCAATTTTTAATTCTGACCAAAAATGCCACTCTTCATCTGGAATGACACAGCCATCGGTTTTGTAAATGCATTTTATTTCTCAGAGATATTCAGCACTGTCTGAATTTCTGAAATCTTTATATTGTGCTTCATATAATGTTTCTGAGTCAATGTGTAGGACAGTGACATCAAACTCCCTGCTCTGATTTTTCCTGTCCAGGAAAAAAAAATACCAAAAACCACTAGTTAATTGTATTTGTTCAAATTTCTGACATGCTGTTAAGTGCAGGGGAAAGTCTCTGGACCTTCCTTGTCTTTGATAGTAGCAGCAGGTGTCTCAAAGAAACTTAGATATAAATCGTATTTCATGTTCTGAACATCATGCACAATAAACAACATGCTTCTCAACTAAGAAATAGCCAGTCCAATATTTAAAGTTTTTTGGTTTTTTTTTATATTTGTGTAAAAAAAATTCATTCTTAGCCTTTCAATAAAAGCCAGGCATTTTTTTTCAATTACATTTTCAGAATTTGCATGCAATCTGGAACATTCAAGTTACTGTAGTGTCATTACTTTAGCAGCACAATGACGTCAAGCACAATTAGTTTATGAACTAGACCCAAATGTTTTGTAAATTTCTAAAATTAAAAAAATCATAGAAAGTAGATTTCATATTCAGTATGTACACTGGTTGGAACGTACTGGTATAAAAACAGTTGCTCAGGAATTCCCCGTTGTTTCTAAGTGTAGTTGAAGGAAAATGCTTTAAAATTATGTATTTTTTAAGTTCATAATATCGAAAATGCTGGCTTTAATAAAATCTGTTAGCAATTTCACTTGTAAGATCAATATTGTTATTGAAGTCTGTAGCTTTCTGGTGGACTTTTCTACATTTTGTCATTGTAAAATCTCTTTGCAATGGTGTTCGCATTTCAAGTTAATAAAAGCTCTTGAATAGAATTCACAAAATCTTCTAGTCTTCCTCCTAAAAATATATTAATTTCATTATATATAACAAGGAAGAGTCAGAATTCAGCACAGTTTGTAGGACAGGTTCCTACATATTCCACAAATTGAAGGCTCAGTAATAGATATGTTTAGCCCACTGAGCATGCAGGAGACTTCACACTGCGTTACTGAAAGAGCCATGTACATCCATGCATCCAAAGCTGGGAATTAAAGAATCTCCTTTGTGAAGAGGAGGGGCTTCTGACTTCCTGGAGAAGCTGGTTGCTTTACTCATGTTTATTTTCACTCCTAGAATATATTCTTCAGAGAAAAAAACAAGTAGTATACTCATCTAATCCAAACCTGTGGGAGAGAAGGCAGAACTGGAGGGAAATCTGAATTGCTATTGCCTACAATTGGACTTTGAGGGTTCATGGAAATTACAGAGTAAATGCAGAAAGCTCCTTCACAAGGTCACTACTTTTAGGGTCATGTTTCCTTACAGCTCTCTTTTATTTTTCTTCCACTGAAATTCAGGCATTGTGAGTTTTCACAAGTAAAGTTTGATTGAAGTTTGACTGAACAAGTTTGAGAATTTGGAAGTACAAATGTATGTAAGCACTTCACTCGTTAGCAGAAAGTGGAAATCTCTGACCCATCACAGCAACATCAGAACATTTTCCTGCAGAGCTGGGGCTGCATTTCAGGGTAGGCAGACTTCTACCTCCAGAGTTGCTAGGGTTTTTTTCCAAAATATTGCAAAATATCATCCATATGAATCACAGAATGTTTGGGTTGGAAGGGACCTTTAAGATCATCTAGTTCCAACCTCCTGCTAAAGGCAGGGACACCACTTTCTACACCACGTAGCTCAGAGCCCCATCCAGTCTAGCCTTCAGTGTTTCCGGAGACGGGGCATTCACAAGTTCACTGGGAAAGCTACCTGCCTTCCTTTTTCTTGAGGTGCACTCCTGGGGTTGGAGGACAAGGTCCTTGAATATTGATCATCTGTATTGGGCCCTTCTTCCTTCCAGGGCCTTATCTCACGTCAACCTGCAAAGCAGTTCCCTGAAGAGGTCAGAGTTTGCTCTCCTGAAGCCCAGAGCAGCAAGCTTGCAGTGCACCTTTGATGCCCTAAGGATCATTAACTCCACAATTTCATGGTCACTGGATCCAAGGCTGCCCTTGAGTTTCACATTATTCTTTGGTTTTTTCTTGTTGATGAGGACAAGGTCCAGCATAGCACTTTTTCCTGTAGGTTCTTGTACAACATGGAAGAGGAAGTTATCAACAACATATTCCAGGAATCTCTCTCATTGCTGGTGCCCTGCTGTGTTGTTCCTCCAACAAATATTGGGGTCGCCATGATGACTGGGGAACTGAATTTGAAGCTGCTCCTATCTGTTTATAGAACGCCTCATCCAGTCGGTTTTTCTGGTCTGGCAGCCTATAGCAGATTCCCACTACAGTGTTTCCTTCCCCTGCCTTCCCTTTAATCCTAACCCATAACCTCTCAGTCAGCTCTTTATCTATCCACAGGTGCAGGTCCATGGGCTCCAGCTGGTCATTGATGTAGAAGGCAATACCCAATCCTTTTTCCCTTGCCAGTCTTTTCCAAAGAGTTTATACCCATCCATTCCTACATTCTAGTCATGAGAGCCAACCCACCACATCTCAGTTGATGCCAATAACATCACAGCCCTGTAGGCATGCACATGCCTGCAACTCTTTTTGCTTGTTCCCCATGCTCTGTGCATTAGTACATAGGCATAATTTTCACTGGCAATTGTGTGTAATTACTGTGTATAGTGGTTACTAGGGAATACCATCACAAATCTATTTCTTCTGCTACTATTTAGTATTATTACATGGGGGAATGGGGAAGAAATGAAAGAAGGCAAATTGGTCTGCTTTCCAAAAATAAAGCAGGCTAAAGCTAGTATTACCTTTGTCTTGTAGAAATATGTTGGGAATTTAAACTAAAGTATATTAACTGAGTTTCATGGGATGAAATTAAACCAAGGTGTAAACCCTGAATGAAAGCAGCATTTACATTCATCCAAAATGTCCTGAAGTGGTCATTACGGTTGGTACATAATGGGAATTTTTCATGGTTCAGAGAAAAAAAAAGTGATTATAGAATCATAGAATCATAGAATGGGCTGGGTTGAAAAGGACCTCAAAGATCATCTGGTTTCCACCCCCCTGCTATGTGCAGGGTCACCAATCACCAGACCAGGCTGTCCAGAGCCACATGCAGCCTGGCCTTGAATGCCTCCAGGGATGGGGCATCCACAATCTCCTTGGGCAACCTGTTCCAGTGTGTCACCACCCTCTGTGTGAAAAACTTCCTCCTAATATCTAACCTAAACATTCCCTGATTCTGTTTAAAGCCATTCCCCCTTGCCCTATCACTATCCACCCTCATAAACAGCCATTCTCCCTCCTGCTTACACATTCCCTTCAAGTACTGAAAGGCCGCAATGAGGTCTCCCAGGAGCATTCTGTTTCCCAAGCTAAACAAGCCTGGTTCCTCAACCTTTCTTCACAGGAGAGATGCTATAATAATAAATGTAAGTAACAAATAATTACAACTTTGTCAGCCAAAAGCAATGTGACTCTAAATTTCCTCTATATGGAGGAAAAGGATCTGGGGGTGTTACCTGACAGCTGGCTAAACACGAGCCTGCTGTGTGCCCAGGTGGCTAAGAAAGCCAATGGCATCCTGGCTTGAGTCAGTAATAGTGCAGACAGCAGAAGGTGATCATCCCTCTGTACCAGTAGTGGTGAGGCCATGCCTTGAGCACTGTGCTCAGTTTTTGGCCCCCCACTACAAGAAAGGTAAAAGAGTGTGTCCAGAGAAGGGCAGTGAAGCTTTGAAGGGTCTGGAGAACAGGTCTTATGGGGAGCAGCTGAGGGAACTGGGACGTCTGGAGGAAGCTTACAGGAGACCTTATTGCCGTCTTCAGCTCCCTGAAAGTAGGTTGTGGTGAAGCAGGGGTTGGCCTCTTCTCCCACTAACAGCGATAGGAAAAGAAGAGATGGCCTTAAATTGTGCCAGGGGAGTATCAGGTTGGATGGTAGGAAGAACTTCTCAGAAAGAGCAGTGAGCTATTGTAAGGGGCTCCCAAGGAGCTGGTGGTGTCATTGTCCTTGCAGTTTTTTGCTGACCCTGGAGCAGACACAGGCATGGGCTGACAGTTGGACTAAATGGTCTCATTGGCCTTTCCAACCTTAGTGAGTCCATTACACTGTTTCCCTGATTTGTCATTTCTGCCAAGGCCCCGCACACCCACGCTCAGCCTGGGAGTGCTTTCTCTGTTAAGTGATGGCCAACACACAGAAAATTTATCGGCATTTCAGAGTGATGAGAACTTGTAACCATATTCCTCATGACCGCACATTCAGCATTAGCCACTCCTCCGAGGTGTTTGTGCTTCTTTATGTACGAGATTATTTCACCTTGTGCTCGACCATCATTCATTCAAAAAAAAAAAGAAACGCAACTCAGTAGTAGCTCAGGTCCGGCCTTGCACATCGGGCCACCCTGAAGTCAGCGACGCCCCGGCGGCCTTCAGCCCCGAGCAGAGCGGCGCGCCGCTGACCAGCAGCCCATCCAGACGGCCGCAGCGGCAGAACAGCGAGGGGAGGGGCGAGGGCGGCGGCCCGTGAGGCGGCTGTGGCGGCGGGCATGGCGGGCGGGCTGGGGCGCGGCGGGCGGCTCGGCGGCGGTGAGGGAGCGGCTGCGGGAGAGGACGGGCGGCGATAGCGGCCAGCCGGGGGCTGAGGTGGAGCTCGTCCGCAGGAACGCAGCTCCGAAGCTCTGGGAGCCCCGGCGGGGGCTGGGGCGGGATGTGGGTTCCTGTGGAAGCAGAGCTTGTCGAGACTTACGGGTTTTCATATTCATTCATATTTTCTGAGCGGCTGGTACCTGGTTTATTTCAGGGAGCTTTATTTCTCGTTCCTCCAGGTTTTAACGTGTGTCAGGGGCACTGAAAAACGAAGGTGTCCCGCTCTGCGTTGGGGTGCAGAGAGAGTGCCTTGAAACTACAGCTGTGTGCGGTGCTGTGCCACCTTGCTCAGAGCTACTCTGCAGCCCCGGAGAAAAGGGCTCTGCTCATGCTGCTCCTTGATGAGAGCTGTCAGAAGCTGTTTTTTCCTTCTCCATCAGAAATAAGACACATTTTGCCTTTACAAAAACGGAGTATTTAAGTAATTTTCTTCCATCCGAAGGATGTATCAAAAAAAAAAAAAAAAAAAAAAAAAAAATTGTTTTAATGGTAGCCTGTGTGTTCTGTGAGCAAGCTTATTGAGAAACTCTTTCAGATGTGCACTTTGATTCCTGCTTGATAATTCTGCTACTGTTTTGCAGTTGTCTTTAGGCAGCAGAAATGGAAAAGTTCTGTGTCTATGCGGGCAAAAATGCCTCCTTGCAACTTTGTACCTGAAAAATACCAAGTAAGTCACACTGCACTTGAATTTATGTAAGACTACAGTATGAGCTCTGAGTGATAACCTCACCTGCCATGAATAGGCTGTCCATTAAGTAGGACCTAGAGAATTTTCTTGTTTATTAGAACTATAGTCGTAACCCAGAGATGCATTTGTCCTACATCTCCACGATTTATGGCTAAATTGTTGGTTTGAAAGACTTAGTGGATAAGTAAGCATAGAACAGCAGTCTTGGTTCAGAAAGTTGGTTGTATATTAAAATTTTGTTCTATGAACAACCGCTGCATCTTTAGAATGCATGAACAGATATTGACTTTTTTATTCCCCTCAGTCATATCCATATGAACATATGCTGAAGATTCGTGAACGGAATATTGCTCCTTCACTGCGAATGTATTACAAGAAGCCTTTGTTGCTGCATCAAGGACATATGCAGTGGCTGTTTGATTATGAAGGACGAAGATATCTTGATCTCTTTGCTGGAATTGTTACTGTCAGTGTTGGTCACTGCCATCCGTAAGTATGTTACTGATTGATTTCCAGAAATGCAGTACAAAATGCAAGAGAAA